AAAAGAAATTTTTCATACCCAAAAACTGGAAAAAGCACATATGTTGACTTAAAAATGTGATATCGGGATTTTGACCTTTAGAATCTTAAAGTATGCAATTTTAGACGATTTTTCGTCCAAACCGGATCTCGATATCTTTCTTCGTTCGAGAGATATCTATGTTCACAGGTTTTGACACTCGCCCCCCCCTAGCTCCCCCCCAAAATTTTTTGGGGGTCTGAAAATTTGGGAAAAGAAGCGCTCAAGTATGAGTAATCAATAGACAAAGTCTGAAGAAATTCCAGAGGGGGGCCGAAAAAAGCCGTTTTTGCATCAAGCTCTTTGTCATTTTCAGTTCCATGTGTGAAAGTAGTCGACATGGAAAGTCAGAAAATTTTAGTCAGGGAAAACCTGCAAAAGTCAGGGAAGTTTTTCCTGCTGAGGCTGTAGACACCCTGTTCAGCTCACAGGAATTTTCTTGGATTTTTTTGAACGAAAACAACCTACAAAAATCGAGTTCAAAGTTGTGTAATTTGAGCTTCCATTCCGACGGAAATTGCTGAGAAAACTAAGATAACACAGAAAAATATCTTTCCTGTTGCAAATATGTACATTTATGAGTGACCCATTGTGACTCCTCTGCCGAGATTCATGGTCTGTACAGCATTGTTGCCAGATATTGCTGAAATTTCAATGCATTTCTACATTTAACAAAATGTCAAACATCCATATCTTTTCTCACAATCTGGCAACCTTGCTGAGCAGGCACTCCAATACACAACTGCGTGCAGTAAAAACAATTGAAGAATCAGGATTAATATAATTTTATATTTATATAATAGATAATCAGGACCCAAATAAAAAACAAATCTTGTCTAAGAAAGATGAACTGATCTGGAGTCCTTCAAATCCTTCATTATCTAAAGCATTAATCTGTTTCCTGAGCTAGGTTTTCTAAGTGTTTTTAATTTCTTGTTTCAGAACCTCAAACGGATGGTGGACCAAATTCGCAGGTTCCAGGTGCTGAACTCTCAGATATTCGTAACGTCAAACACGTACCTGAAACCAAGTGAACACGATAGTGCCTCAGTCGAACATGTCCGCTGCTTCCTGCCACTGATTCACACCTCCCTTGCAGCGCACGCACACTACTATCGACTGGAGAACCTGCAGTCACAAACTGTGCATAACCTCTAAACTCCCCTGCTGAAAGGAATTGGTGATGATCTTCATTTCAAGGATTATTTCATTCCATTTGTGAAAGGCTCACTGTTACTGTGAGATATCGTGATTAGGAAATTTTAGTTCCAGCGTGTGAGTACAATACCTCTTATCCCCTCTTTTTTCTACATCCAAAATTTGTTTTATTTTTGTAGGCAATTGGTACCCAAAATGCATTTTGTACCTATTGAAGAGTATATTGCTGCTCTCCTCAGTTAAGAATTGAATTGTGTGGAACTGAAATTTTATCATATTTAAACTAAATTACTTTTTGTGCTGTAGAGTTTGTACGAAGAAATGAGCACTCCAACCTGTGTCATGTTAAATTAACACCTTGCAAGAAATCTAGATTCCAAAAATTTTTGGTACGGTTGTTGGTCTTTATTTAGCCAACGGCTCCATCACTCGCAGCTTGAGAGTTCTTGTACACCTGGCAAGGCTGCTTATACCAAAGGTAGGTGTTAGGATCTCGAGATCATTGGAAGACAATTCTTCTAAGTTCGTTCTCTATCATGCTAAACCATTTTCTAATATTTCTACTATGTCTACATAGGCGATTAGTTTATCATATATTATCTGCCATTGTTAGTGAATAAACAAGACACGAAAATTATTTAGCATTGCACTGTATATGCAAGATGCTTGATTACCTTTTTTAGTGCAAGGGTATTAATTTCCCTACTCAGTTGTTCCACCTTGATGAGAATAAGCTATCATACAGTCCATGAAAATGCACATTGGTTTATTCTCACCCATCGTTCAGTTATTGCCGGAGTATTCTGATCTTGGAAGAATTTTTCAAGGTTCTTTGTCTTCCATTTTGTATTTTTTTATTTTTTACATTAATTTATTTCTTAATTGTTCTGTGCTAAGAATAGTTAACCTCCAGTGCAGTACAGCACTGAAAATTATTTAAACCGGAAACAATTATGTATCTTCCTGCAGTCTTTTCTTCAACCAAGGAATTGAATTTTTGTTCACAAAAAATCTGTGTGCAACCTTCGTAGTAATGTTTTGAAAACTTTCAATAATGAGCCCAAGGAAAGGGTGAATTTCCGCTATATTGATTTTAATCTCAGATCCCTGAGCTGTTCAGAGTATTTTTCAAAATTTCTACGTAAATCTTCATAAAATCTAAATTTAGTAGGTATTTTAGTACTCAACATTAAGTTTCTGCTCTGAGATTACCTACTGTCGCTGACTTAATGGTCAATTGTCTCATTATTGGCTTTCTAAGTATACGGATAGTGTTTTGCATGTAGGTATTTATAATCATGTACCTAAAATGTTACTTGTACTTTTTAAGTGTGTAGAGGGGCATCTCCTCATTACAGTTTTTTATTTTTCTGCCAATTCAAATTTTTGACAGGGTGAAGAAGTCAAGAAACGAGTATTTGGATGTCTTGATTTTTATTTTTAATAATGGTTTTTTTTTCTAAATACCAGGTTTTACCCACATTCCAAGCAGCCGAGATGTACTAAATATGGTACACGGACTTTGTATCTCCTACTTGGATAGTAATCGGGGTTAGATTTATTGAATGATTTTGGGTTTCCTTTTACTTTTAATTCGGCTGTTATGATTTTTCTTGATTGTAGCATAGAGTCTATGTCAAGAAATTTACGGATTACAGGGAGCGACAGAAGATCTACGATCTTGATTCTCGTATTTATATTCAATGCTAAGCTAAAGACACATGATCTTCATTCACATTTTAAAAGTTCATAAATATTTTTGGCTCAAACTCTAGTCAGGAATTGGTTCTAAATTAACTTAATTAAGTCTGTGAAGATTATGGAATTCAAATTTTTATTGATTTTCATACGCTCTGTAACTTCACAAAAATCATCGAAAAAGGAAAAACATTCTTCGAAGTTTGGACCGCAAAATCTGAAGCACTCAGTGAGGTCTTCTCAATCATAATGTCTGCCATGAAACCTAACATTTTCCGCCCTTTTTAAGAATACAATCTGTTAATGATGAATCACACTGTATTTACCAGCCTTTTTTAAGATTTGCAACAATTTCTGCGATGAGATTTTCTTTCCTCAGAGGTAGTGAATCTATTTTGTCCGAATTCCAAAAAGGTCATTTAATGTCTTTGACTTAATGTGTTGAATAAACCTCTATCAACAATGTGATAGAGATTTTGAGGAATGAAATTTCTACACGTTCCTGAAAAAGGTCTGGATTTGTCTCCAGAATATTCAATGTCGAGTGGGTTTGAATTGGTAAGAAGTGGCCTGTGGAGGATTGAGATCGCATAACTTCAAGCTTTACTTGCACACTTTTCCATATCCTTGATATTTTTTATTTTTCAATTCATTGTCGAGCAGGCTGGAAATATACGGTCAAATGTTTCTCTCAATAAGACGTTCCATAATCAAGTCTCTAGACCCTCTGAATATGGTTCTCATTTAACTGGTTTACGGGGGTTTCAATTGCTTCAATTTGAAACCCATACTAAAGTTCTTACGACTCATGAAGAACAACTGAAGTTCTTACAATACAAGTGAAAGCAGGGAGAAAAAATTGCTGAAACAAGGTTGAAATACGGACTGTAAACATTTTAGCCTTGTTTTCACTATTTTTTTTCCTTTTCTTTTAGATGCTTTGGGCCATTCTGTTGCTCCTTGTTTTTCAAAGCATCGATGCTGAACAAAAGCATCCATTTATCCTTTTTATCTTCAAATTGTTCAAGTCATCGAGTCAACCAGGAATCTGGCCTTTTCTTTATAAACATGCAATCAAAATCGAACACTAAGCTGTGTGTTTACTATCAGGAAAGTTATTGTATGTATAAAACTGTAAAATGTTTGTCTAATAAAACTCAAATTTCAATGGAAGATCGTGAATATTTTTCTTCTAATATTCCGGACTATTTCGTTCATAATTTAATATAAAGTATATGAAAATTTCGATGAAAAATAAGCATGAGTTTCCTGAAAAATATTTTGTCGGGGGATATTAGGCGACATATGCATGTTCATACATCATTCTGTCTTAGCCCGGCAGAACGTCAATATATACCATAACCTACATTTCAAAAAATTCCGGATTATGATGTAGGCTGTAAAAGCAAAAGTTGAACTTTTTTCAGTGAAAAAAAATTAAGACCTTTCACATCACAGATTTTCCTAAGTTGTCTCTCTGTCATGTATTACAGTCAAGCAGCAAATCAAAGGGCTCTGTTCTCATTTTTCCCAATCATCATTTTATACACTCACCTTTGCCGAGAACTATTTCCCATTTGCTGTAAAACACATAAGCAGAGAAATTGAAGGGGAACCTCAGGTTGAAAAGTAGTGCCAATAAGTCAACGTATTGTCTGTTGGTTTTATTAAAGTTTTGTTCGAACAGCTAACTATTCTAGCTCTCCTGCAGGTTTATTGCCTGCAACAAAATTGAAGGCAAATTTTACGTAAACATTTATTACCAATTGGTGTATGCACTGTTTATTGGTTTAATGAAAATGTATGGAGCAAGACAAGTTTGTTGCTTGAATTCTTGCTTCTTGCCTATGCAGCAAAATTGGAGACGAACTCAATTTTTTACCCAGCTTAATTTTAACTTTAATTTTTCTCTCCAGTCAAAAAATTCTTATGAGCCTTCTTAAGCTCAAAAATGATAATTCTGCTAAAATTTCTCCAAGAAGTACGTATATTTTCAAAGCAATCTTTAGATCATGGAACTGTCATATCACTCCATATATACATACAGGCTCCTGAATTAGCAGGTCTCGCACCTCCACTGCGGATGTAAGCCTGATCGGAAGGAAATCTAAATAAATACGCTGATCTTGAGTCAGAACACTTGGTGTATTGATGTTGGATCAGAGTCTGACAGTTTCATTTTAAACCAATAAAATCAAGTCAAGCAGGCATTTTGTTACCTTCTATAATCAAGATAAATACTTTACATACTGTACATTTTTGCATCTAGTTCATATACACAGAAACTGGACTCTTCTTCTTTCTCACTTTTCAAATGTGCTGGCAAAAACTTTCGTACTCCATACCTACTTCCCCTGAGTAATGACAAAAGCCACTGCGAATCAATTCAGAAATCTACCATTAGAAAGAAAGAGGAAAAAAAGGAAATGACGGCAGGTTTCATCCATGATCATATGTTTAAAATTACAGCAGTAGTGAATTGCGCAACGGAGAAACGATTTCGGAAGTTCGAGGATGTCCTTAACAGTCGCAGCATCTCGGACGAGAGGCTCCTTAAAGCGCATATTCGTCAGGAACAAATCCTGTATGGCGATACATTTCCTCCTCTGAAATTCGAAAAATTAAGATTTTTTGAGAACCAGCTGAGTAGAAAGTAGCCCTGCATTTGTAAAATTCTCGAGTTGAATTTTCGGTACGATTAGATAGCGTTAAGAGAATCATCATAGGTCATCATATTATGCCTTTTTATAAAGGAAGTAACCGGTCAGCGGAATAGTAAACCGATGTAGTACTGCTGTTATTAGAAGCATACACACTGTTCAAAATAATAATATTCTGTTTTTATATTGAAAAATAGTCGAGTCGATCAACTCATCATCAGGTTAAATGAGAGCACTGCTTAAAGGCAACTAAAGTGAAAATAGAGTCAAAATTAACTCAATTTCATCTTCAATATGGGAACAGAATAATTGGTCACTTTGACCCTACTGCACACTGATACAAAACCCTGTTGAATTTACGCATGGCAGTCGGATATTGATAATGAAACTCCCATACCATATTTCTCGTTTGCTATGTTCAACAATTTCCACTTCTGTTTCTTTAAAGGAGATCTAATCAACATCATCGCACGGAGTTTCCTCAGAATTTTCAAACAGAGAAGAAAAATCTTGGAAGTTTTTCAAAATTGGACGTATTTATGCTAAAAGGAACCATGTGCATAAGTTTTTCGTATAACATAGTTCCTTTTGGCATAAATAGTCCAATTGACGTTAAATAGTTCTCTTTTCAAAAATAATGTATGGTAGGAAGTCTGCAACGAGAAGTCTTGCAAAGCGAAATATGTGCGTTAAAAGTTTCGCCGTCGATAAGAATTGGCGGATCCAGCGAATTGGCAACATTGTGTGTCTCCATTTAAACCTATGGAAATGTATCGATTCTTGGAGGGGGGCCAGGTGCTCCGTCAAGAATCGATTATTCAACATAGGTTTAAATGTAGGAATCCCGGTGTTACCAAATTGCTGGATCCGCCTATTTCGATAAGTCTGTGTCTGTCTGAGGGTTTTTCGTGTTGGAGAAAATTGCTATATGTCTTCTTCAAAAGAACCCAAGTTCCAATTTGACATAATTATTGATTAAAAAACATCAAGCTCCCCAAGTAGCAGTGACCGCGATAAACAGCGATTTTATTAGTTGGTTATCGCGATTATATCGGTGGCAATATATCGAGATATTACCGCATTAAAAATTGCGATTTATGGCGATTAAATCGCAACTTTTGGTTCGATATATTCGTGATCGATTTTCGTCGATAAAATCAAGATTAAATCGCCATTTATCGCGATTTTTATTTCGAAAATATCGCGATACATGGCGTCGGGCGATAAAAGCGCAACTTTATCGCGATAAGATTGAGGATAATCGCTTAGATGTTCATAATTTTGGCGATTTTATCGCCGATAAAATCGCGAATAAAATCGCAATGTAGCGATTTTTCCGTTGAGAAATGCTACTTGGGTACAAACCATAAATATAGTATTTCAAACTACATGTAGATGAGAAAAACCCTTAAGTGTTTCAAATTGAATTAGCGATTGGAAAAAGTAAGATGATGCTTACTAGTGAGGTCGGCGTATTTTGTGATTCCGTATTTGTTCCTTTCCATCGCCTGATCGTTCCATATTTGAATTTGCTTTATATTATTGCTGAAAACATGAAACCTGTACTCATCCTCTTCAGGAGTTTTGTAATTCTTCTTGAATGCTGATTTGTACTCATCCCACTTCTCTTTGAGCACTGCCTCGCTTCTGAGATCCAAATCCTCCACAGGATCTTTTATATCGGCGACGATCTAAGCACAAGGGGCATAAATTCATTCTTACGGAGTTCTATATCTTAAGGTATCACACAGCAATGCTCTCAAAATTTTTTTGTGGAATTGATTTGAATTATCATTGGAAAAATTGAAGCCAAATGTTCATATTCCACAGAACTTTCATTATGGTATGTTAGTTTTTACTTGCTGATTTAAACGCACCGCACTCCTCCCTTCTCACAGGATCTGTATATTCGGAGAGCCAAGATTTCCAGTACAAATAGCTAGTATCTAAAGTAATTTAATAATTTTAAGACCTTTGGATTCCATTTGAAATAAGGAACCAGTATATGTGGCCCATTTTAGAGACAACACGCATGACATTGGTTTCCCTATGCAGATCAGGGTCGGACTGGCTCACATCTCAGGGCGGAGACCCTTAGCCGGCTAAAGGGGCGTGAAGTGATTTCCCTCCCCCCCTCTGACGTGAAAGTCGGTCCAGAAATTTCTGGCAAATTAGCACATCCTTACGCTTTTTTCAGGTTCAAAGTTTATTAGGTAATTACACAGAGCAAAACTAACAAAATGGAACACTTTTCAGTAACCGGGAGACTTGCGACATGGAAAAAAAATATACCTAATATAAAAGCTATAGGTACCAGACGCACTCATGCATCATTCTTTCCAGAAGAATGGAGCCAGAGCTTGAAAATTATAATACTGCTTTTAAAAACTAGAAGTCAGAAAATGATGTACGAGGGCTGTCCCAAAAGAAACCGGACTTTTCTCATAGAAGGCGAACCGAGTGTCGTACCTATTGAAGTTTTCTTGGGCTTGTTTGAAAGGTGATAAGCTACTGAAGATGCTTGTTTTTACAGAATGCAAAAATTCGTCTTGGTAAGGAAACTACACGCTTTGGAATAAAGGAAAGTCCAACTCGAGTTGCGATTTTTGTCTTTATTTCAAGAAAATTTTAGATACAACTTAAAAAAACCCAGGTTTTAAGTTAAAAACTTCGTTGCTCTCTTATTCAAATGTTTAAAAATAAGGAAATTAACATTTTAAGCAGCTTACACCAAATCACCTATCCCCTCCAAAATACTCGCCAGCTTTGTCGATGCATTTTTTTCCACCGTTCTTCAACTGGGAGAAACAATGTCGGAAATCCTCAGATTTGAATGATCGCAATTCCTACAAGGTGTTCTCTTGAATTTCCGGAATGGTTTGAAAACGTCGACCTTTCAAGGTAGATTTAAGTCGTGGAAATAAGAAAAAATCACACGGAGCCAGGTCAGGTCACCTTGAAGGAATTGCGATCATTCATACCTGATGATTTCCAACAGTGTTTCTCCTAGTTGAAGAAACGGTGGAAAAAAATGCATCGACAAAGCTGGCGAGTATTTTGGAGGGGATAGGTGATGACTTGGTGTAAGCTGCTTAAAATGTTAATTTCCTTATTTTTAAACATTTGAATAAGAGAGCAACGAAGTTTTTAACTTAAAACCTGGGTTTATTTAAGTTGTATCTAAATTTTTCTTGAAATGAAGACAAAAATCGCAACTCGAGTTTGACTTTCCTTTATTCCAAAGCGTGTAGTTTCCTTACCAAGACGATTTTTTGCATTCTGTAAAAACAAGCATCTTCAGTAGCTTATCAGCTTTCAAACAAGCCCAAGAAAACTTCATTACGACACTCGGTGCGCCTTCTATGAGAAAAGTCCGGTTTCTTTTGGGACAGCCCTCGTATTGTTTTTGGGTTCATAAACCCCACAATATGTACGTCAAAAAGTTCCTCTCAACCTCATCGAAAAATAAAACATTCAATCTAGAAAGTACAGCGTGAAGTTTTGAAGGAGAGACAAGGTGTTCAGTAAAAAACGTAAAAATAAAGAGATAGAAATACATTTAGATTAAATGCACCAGAGATCTATAGCAGGCTGCAGGAGGTCCCATTCAGCAATCATTTTATTGGCAATGACAATATATTAGGACGTACCCGAACATTATAAGCCTAATTTTGCAAGATTAAACGAAACTAAATTTTATTAAAATTCACTGACTGATAGTGAATGACTTCTTTTGGCTCCCCTCTTGAATCCACAGTTTTTGGCGAACAAGGTGCAGTCATATTTTAATGATATTTTCATTAACCCTTAGATGCTGAGGCCCGGTCAAATTGACTGGAGACTTGTTTAAGAAAACGCCACGCGAGTTGTGAGGGACCGCGGTATATACGAGCCGTATATGTAAGGTCTATAAATATTTGTGCATTAAAACAAGAATCAAACCTCAAATTGAAAAAAGATGAAAAAATTGAGGAACAACCGAGTCGAGACATAATCGTGCATTTTAAATATTTCTCTCGAATCTGAGTGACACCTCACTAGCAGCATAGAAAGGAGCATTGCGAGTTCACGCACAGCGCCACCGCGCCTTCAATTTTGCAGATGCAACACGGACATCCATCATGTACGAATAGTTGTATCTCTGCGCCGTCATCAATGCGCCTCCTTTTACTTTGCTCTATTTCCATACTGTGTTTGTTTCAGTTTGTCTTATTTGTATTTTTAGCGGTGCCTTAAAGACTGTATGAGCAACATAGCCGTAAATAGGAGAGCCGTAATAATCGAGTTTCTTAACTTTTCTCAGGACACTTCATTGGCAGCATAAAGCGGAGCTGCTGAACATCGCAAATGCACAGCTCGCGCCATCGCGCCTTCAATTTTGAAGATGCAACACAGACATTCACCGAGCACGAATAGTTGTATCTCTGCGCCGTCTTTCCGTTTGCTCTATTTCCATATTGTGTTAGTTTCGTTTGTCTCATCTGTAGTGGTGCTTCAAGGGCTACGTCAGCAACACAGCCGAAAATAGGATGTGCTTTCATCAATTATCATTTTGAAAAGAAAAACAGATGTTAGAGGTCTCTGAAGCTATCAAAAGGGCGCACGTCTAAAAATTGACTGTACTACCTCTTCTGAGAGAGTGACATATGGCAGATGAGGAAGGGGGGGGGTGATTAAAGCGTCCTTGTGTTACCAAAAAGGTAAAAATTTCGAAGGAAAGAATTTTTACCTTCTTCTTCGAAATTTTATGAATACCTAGTTATTTTGACACTTGACAAAAGTTCGAGAGCTAGTCTGATTTCCTCACTTAATGACGCTATCCTGTTTTCGAAAACTATAAGCAAGAGTAACCAATTTTTTGCGTAATAGCGAAATCTAAAATCGTAAAGCGCAAACCAAAACATCAATTTTCCAGCATTTTTTTAGGCCCAGGCGCCTCTGGGCACTTATTTCCGGATTATTGTTCCAGGACATCCATTCACCACTATCATGCGTACGAAGACCTTTCTTTACTCTTACTCTCTCTTCTCCCGTTCATTTTTTAATTTTCCGCATTTTTTCTCGGTCATTATTTTTTCTCTCATTTTATTTTGCTATTGTGGCAGAGGAGCGCGTCTTCGATGCGTCAGGGGGCGTATATCTACATACATAAGAGTCGCTCTCACAGCGCTCTCCGGCGCTCTGCGACGCCTAACCGCCACAAAGCTCGGTCCTCCCACAGGTCATCAGGGAGTTGGTATTCCCTCATCTCATCCTTAACCCCCTGTCGCCAACCATTCACTGGGCGTCCCCTACGTCCCCAGGGGGCGTATCTGCCAATGGCAAATTGGCTTTATGGCCAGTTCGACTCTAATTCAGATATGTGCTTTTATGGGAAAGCTAGAGATGGTGGTTCCTTGTTGCAAAATGTAATCCAATAATACTTCTACAGTTTCAAGTAGAATATCTATAGTTTATAAAGGAATGAAACGTGCTTGAAAAAAAATACAGTTCATGTGAAAGAAAAAGGAACTGTACAGAGAGAAAGCTCTCTGTCCCACTCGGAAAACTGGGAAGAGAATCTCCCCTAACTTTCGTGAAAGATTGAACCGTGTGACATTTAAACTCACAGCTTTGACATTCATCGAATAGGTGGTCTGAAGACGATGTAGGCGATTCATTCCTCAACCGATGATCGTGGGACAAAGGCCACGAATTGGGAGCTGCGGCAAAGAGAATTGACACAGGGATCACAGTTTTAGGTATCCTCTGCTACAGGGAGTACCTCAAACTGTGATCGATGGTTCCCGCGTGGTGTAGGTATCTTTGTTCTGCGTGGTTGGCAAATGCTATCCCCGGACGAGAGAACGTGCATTTTTGCTCTGCGCGGTTGGCAGTAACCAGGGGTGCTAGAGTACCTTCTTCAGCACCCCAGAAATTCTCCCGCGTGAATCAATGGGTCTCGGAAGGACTCCTGTAGGAGCCTGAAATCCTGCATGCCCTGGTAAAAATTGGCGATAAGAGCTGCGTTTCAAAATACCATAGGAAGTTTTATAGCCGGATAAAGGGAGGCTATAGAAAATCATATAGCTGGCTGTAGAATGCGGAGAAAATCATACGGCTGGGCTATACGGAGCGATAAAAAATTATGCAGCCGGGCTATGGTTCATATCGCTGGGCTTTACACTTTATCGCCTGGCTGTTGCTTTTTCGCCATCGATTATAAAAGGCTATAAGAAATTGTGTAGAAATTCGTGTGCTTTGGAAATCATTAAGTTTGTTACGGAACCACCTTAATATTTACAAAACACACATTATATTTTCCTTTAATACATATTTTTTTTCATCAATTAAAACGAGAATAAACCATACAGGATGTGCAAACATTTCAAAATCATGAGTTGAATAACGCTGACTCCGCCAGATTAATTATTAGAGCCTAACACAAAGCGGAGCGGCGACGCACTGGCGCCTACAAACCTAACAGGGATACTTCACGCATTGCGCAATGCGTGAAGTATCCCTGTTGGGTTTGTAGGCGCCAATGCGCGTTTCGCGCTGGCTATTAGGGGGCTCCTGAAATTGTTCACGATGGTCTATGTTTGCAGCAGTTAAAGTGTTTAAGGAGGTGAAGACAAAAAATGTTGATTGAACATCATACTGCGTTCATTCTGATACAAAATAAAAACCGAGTAAGTTTTACCACCCATGGAACTACTTATGCACTCACCATTGTAATCGTGAGAGTTGAAATTATCGCTATGTAGGTTGTATAGGCCATCTGCGAACAGTTTATTGCAGCGTAGAGTACTGTTTTACAACACCTATTTAAAAAATTTAGAGATTAAATCAAATCCTATACAAACATATTTTCTTCAGAAATTGAATGAAATGAAGGAAATAAATGAGGGAGATTTTTGCGCTCTAATGGTTCGCGCTCCCACAGTTGCATTCCCAGGGCATGTGCGAGTTCGTCTCATGACGGGTCTGATTTTTTGCCGGTGAATTTGGAATTTTCGAAGGGTAGAGATTCGATCGACATGGATCGATCAAGAAACAAAAACGTGAACCTATCCACGATTAATTGAAGAGACCCAGCGTTGATTCGATGGACCCAAATCGATCGAAACCAAAAACTCGAACCGCCATCGAAAACGATTTGATCGACAAATCCGCGAATCGATCGAAACAAGAATAACCCGTAAATACGAGGGTCATCCAAAAAGTAAGGTTCCCTACCTTGTATCTTCCGAACGAAAAGAGATAAATCAAATCGGCAAATAGACACATATTAGACGTACTCTATACGCTTTAAAATAGGCCCAAGGTTTTGAAAATCGGTCTAGGGGTTCGCGAGAAAACTTAATTTTACTGAGACAACCTCCTGTCGCCGCGTGCCCACCTCCGGGGTCAGGATACACAGAGAGTCAATTATTTCAGACTCGGGCGTTCGCCTCTAAACATCAAATCAAAAAGGAATTTAAAAGTTTTCATTGAGTAGGCCTTAACTTACTTTTTGACGCAGTCTTCACATCTTTGTTGACATTTCTGGTATCATTACAGCAGCTTCTTGATGCCGTCCGCGTAAAAGCTCTCGTCTTGACTCCGGAACTAGTCATTGACAGCGATCTGCACTTCCAAATCAGTTGCTTTGCGCAAGGAAATTTTCCCCCAATCCTCCATACTCTCTTAATTTAGTCTTATGTGACTTTCATCTGTTCCCGAGCGGAAAAACTTCCACAATGAAAAGCGATTGCCAACCGATTCAGAGGTACAGATTGCTGTCAATGACTGGTTTCGGAGCCAAGGCGATAGCTTTTACGCGGACGGCAACAATAAACTGCTGAAATGAAACCAGAAATGTCAAAAAAGATGTGGAGACTACGTCAAAAAGTAAGTTAAGGCCTACTCAATGAAAACTTTTTAATTCCTTTTGATGTGATGTTTAGAGGCGAATGCCCGAGTCTACTCTCTGCGTATCCTGACCCCGGAGGTGGGCACGCGGCGACAGGAGGTTGTCTCTGTAAAATTAAGTTTTCTCGCGAACCTTTTAACCGATTTTTAAAAACTTGGGTTTATTTTAAAGCTTAGAGTATGTCTAATATGTTTCTGTTTACTGATTTGATTTATCTCTTTTCGTTCGGAAGATACATGGTAGGGAACCTTACTTTTTGGATGACCTTCGTACCTTTATCGACAGCACCGAGAATCGACCGAAGAGGTGTCGATTGGTTCACATTTGTGTCTATCGATCATCGACCGATCCAGATACTCCAAACGAAGGGGGTCGGCGGAGAGGGGTCTGGGGGGCTTTCGCGGAAAATTTCCAAAATTTGTATCCATTTAATATGCAGTTTGGGTCGATTTCGTCATGAACTATTACCAATTGTAAGCGTCTTCCCTTCTTTCTTTCTTCCTTCTTTCTTCCTCTTTTTTTCTGGCAAACGGAAGGGGAGGGGGTGGTGGATTCACGCCCTCCACGTCTCGTCTCCCCCTCCCTTGCAGGGACCCCCCCCCCCCTGCGGTGCCGATCGAATCGCTATCGATAGATTCATGTCGATCGAGTTCCATTTCGAGAAAATGTCGACAGAAATAGTCGCGTAGAAAGATTGCAACAGAGTGAAGCACTTGTCGTGTTAGTTGTTTGAAACGGCAGTATGAGTTTGTTAACCCTTATTTTTATTTGGAGAAACGACGAAGAGGATAGCTCGCTCTGCTGCTGGCTGGTTGTAGCTGGACTTGAGGCGTCTGCCGCTAGAGGGCGGTAGGATGAACGGCTGGATGAGAGTGTTGAGAGACGAGAGTCCGATGGAGCAAGTGGCGCCAAAGAGATCAAACGATTCCCAGAAGGCTGTTGGCATGGAACCTTAACAGACCTCCTATTTTTAACATGAATTTCTAACGCTAATAATTTACTTTCTTTGCGTGAAAAATACACTTCTGGCACGGTTTGACAGGTGAGGTAAATAATTAAAAGTATTTTTACAAACTTTGTCGGATATTTAAGTAACTTCTTATCGGATCATGGCGCCTTTAATCATTCTTTTTTTCTTGTGCTCTTGTCGGAGAGCGGCAAAAGACCAAGCTCACTTGATTTATACCGATGAATATTTATTTGATTCACGCCGATCAGGGGTTGTGATTTTGATTCATCCTTCTTCTTACAAGACGGTGCTAATTTCGGAGGGGGAGGGGGAGGAGGAGACGAAGGAAAAAGTAGAACGATTTTTAATTTTCTCCAAGGTTGCGCATACTTTGCTCTTTAAGTAAATTATTCAATAAAACAGCGTTGGAGAGTCTATCATTCCACGTGCATGCTCAAGAGCCCACTTTCACAGTGCTCCCCAGCGCTCTGCAGCACGCAATCGCCACAGTGTCTCTGTCCTCCCACAACCCTGTAGGGAGTTGGAGCTCCCACATTTCAGTTATAACCCTCTGTTGCCATCCTTTTAGTGGGCGTCACCATCGTCTACTCCCAAGAGGTACCCAACCAAGCATCCTCTTTGGTGGCCTCTCCTCCATCATCCTGTTAACATGGCGACATCAGACATGCTGTTCGGTCTTAACGTCGATTACGATGTCATTTCCGACTTCCATGAGCCGAGACACTCGATCATTACGGACCAAATCTTTTTTAAAAATCCTTGCTGACCAGGACCAGAGCCGGATTAGCACTCAGGGACCGGGGGTGCTCGTCATGAGGGGCTTCATCCTAAAATTGAAGGGCCCCATGGCAGTCAAAATTCCAGTCTTAGGGCCTCTTTAAATCCGTCTTTTAGACTTCAAAGACCACTACATAATCTAGAATAAAACAAAGATCGCTCAAGGGGGCCCGGAGGGTGCCATAGCACCCTGACACATCAGCTAACCTGGCCACAATGCTGACTTCCTCTAGAAATCCATCTCTATTGCTCTCGGCATGTCCCGTGTCCGTTTCTTCAGCTGTCCAACTTTGCGTCCATATGTTAAAATACTTTTTACTACAACGTTCTAAATTCACCTCTTGTTCTCTTTCGAAGATCGACTTGGATGATCCTAGAGGACTCCATTTACTATCGTATAGCTTTTCTACCTAGAGTGTGTCGCTCCTTGGTGGCTTGATCTATCCTTCCACCTTGTGTTTCCCGCACACTCAGGCATTGTCCTCATCCTCCGCCCAGCCTTTGATTTTCTACTCATCTTCCAACCACTGAAAGTCAGTCCACGTGAATATTTGTAAAATGATCACCCAGGATTTTGGGTTGCACAAGTTTTAGAGCCATGTCATCAAGAAACACTGAAAATTCCATCTAGTTTCATTCTATTACCCTATGCGAGCAATTGACAAATTTGGGGGTGGATTCAGCAGCATAACTTTGGAAATGTGTCTTTAGAAGGGATTAAAATCGTTTATCACGTCAAAAAATACAAAATACGAAAGAAAACATACTGCGCGCTTTGTGCATTTTAGGATTACTACCTCAAAGTTTCTCCAAATCATTGGATTCTTTCTTCCGTATTCTGGCGTACTTTTTGCCAAGGTTAATCATTGTAATCCCTTGCAAGGGTCCATTTCCCAATTCATATTGCTGAACACTCGAGGTCGACAAAAACTGTCGGTTTTCATGATGCCAAGTTAGGATCTCCTTGATTCTCCGGCCTTTGATCACAGTGCATACACCTTACACTGCCGTGCCAAGGAAGAACGCCGTATAAACATTCGGGAGTTGCCAGATTTCCCTTGATAAAACCTGTATTTTTGACAAAATTCATGCATATTTTTCCTTGAAATTTTCAGATATTATAGATTAAATTGTGTACAAAATTTTCTGAAAATCTGAGAACATAATAAGTATTCACAATTTTCCCACACTGGAAAAAAAAAAACACATAGGATCTAGAGTCCAGACTCTTGAAAACATTGACAAGAAAAATACTCTTGATTCAATCGGATTTTTGCTTGAATCAAAACAAAACCCTTTTAAATTAAGAGGCTTGGTTCTTGATTCAAGCTAGATTCTGATTTAATCAAGAGTACTTTTTCTTGTCGATGTTTTTAAGAGTCTCGACTCTAGATCCAACGTGTTTTTTCTTCCAGTGCAGTAATTTCGGTTTTTGTCGGAGGAAACTTGGCAACATCTGAAGGCTCATATGGCGTTCCTCTTTAGCACGGCTGTATAGGGGTTTTTTTTTTTTAAAAAAAAAACTGGAACTGTTCAAGAAACGACCATGAACACGATCCCTAGTGATTTTCAAGTTGGATAATTTGGAATTCAATTCTATGTAAAGCAATATTTCTATTTTAAACAACTAGGGAGCACGTCCCTTGAACGCTTCGCAATTCAACCTATCCAAGTGCTTCGCATTTCTGGCGTCACGCGTTCCGCGTCACTCTAGTCATTTATATCATAGAGTATGGTGTGATAATATGTATGTACTTTTACAATTTTGTGGCCGTCGGTGAACCACCGGCGCTCGCGCAAATTTCCCGGCGGGTTTTTTATTATTTTACGCTTGCGAGCGGGTCCGCCGGGTGCCGGCAACGGGGAAAAAGTTCAAAGTCATTAACACATGGGGCTATAATCGATCAATCTCTCTGCACTTGAAGAAATGGGCCTGAAGGAAGCAAGAGACCTGCGGTGACGCTACTCACAGCCCGGGGGCGGGGGGAGGCCCCCCCCGCCCCTCGGGCGCGAACCGCCGGGTTTTAAATAGACGCGCCGCGTCGCCCTCGCGTCGCGACGCTGTCGTGCGACGTTGCCGGATTTTGCGGCGAATTTAGTTGTTTCCGTGCGGCGGAGCGCCCGGTCGCGGATGAGTGGCAGCCGTGGATGCGGGTCTAAAATTGACAAAATTCTAAAACTTCCACGAGGCGACTTTTTGAGTCGCTTTGCCTAGGCGCTGAGCTTCGGATCCGGCGAGACGGGAGCGAAGCATCGTGAAAACAAAATTTCGGCCCGAGTAACTTAATTTTACGGTTGAACGAACCAAACTACCCTCCGTATAACCTTAGTTTTTGGTAAAATCGAATACGCGTGTAAAGCAATCTGTATGACTGACAAAAACTCAAAGTTACCCGAACCAAAATTTAGTTCCGATGATTGAAAACTTCAATAACCCAGGCTGAAAATGTTAATGTATCTTTGCGAGCTGAAATTTTTCTCTTTGCGAATGTCCTCGTGGCTCTTGCACTGATGATGATGAAATTTGCAGATCGGAAGTATTGACATCATACCATTTCAAAATTTTCTATCGTGCTCTAAAAAAGAAGGAACCAAGTTTTTTTTGTGGAAAATGAAGGAGTCGAACTTCGTTCACTGGTAATAAAACTTTGGTTCCTGCGGTATGTTGGTGTTATCAGTCCAAGTAACCAAAGTTTTCTCAAACCGAACCTAGACTCTTCTATTCTATCGAGGATACCGATTAATTTGACTATAAAGCGCAATTTGAGTAAGCGAAAACCTCGCGCGGCAACTCGAGTCAAAACATTTTAGGCTTTGATTAGAATGTAGCCATCTCATTACATTAACTCTAGTTTTTTATGGCTGTGTGGAGCCTTTTGTCTAATTGTTATTTTTTATTTTAATTTCTATTTTACTTAAATTCGATTCATTTATTTTTACCGAGTAAAATGATTTGACTAAAAATTCTCAGATTCACTTTCCTTAAACTCTTTCTGTAATCCAAATGTTTTCTTATGAATCTCTATGTTTCTTAGAATTTCCAATCATTGTGGTGTGACTATTTAAAAATCAGTATGAAAAGCCGGGAACAACTGCTATTGAGCAATGAGCTCTTTCCCTCAGTGGCGTGACGTGAATTGCGATATGTCGAATGTTATGCCATTTAAACCTATGGGAAAGGAACGATGAACAGGGTGTTTACAGCGAACATTTTAATAATCGATTCTTTACCATAAGTTTGAATGGCATAACAATCGATACATTGCAATTCGCGCCACGCTACTGCTTTCCCTCTATTTCGGTTATGTTCTGCCAAACTCCCCTCGTTTTATTCATTAATTTTACTGTTTGATGTGGCTATAGCATGCTTCTCGTTCCTTAATAGGTTATTTGGACTTCATTTTGCAATTAGAAACTAAAATTTCTGGCTCCTCCGTAAAAACACTTATGTGTATGGGAAAGCTAATGACACATACGTTGTTTTGAAACTGGATCAGACGCTGTAGTTCCGAATTGCAAAATGATCCCCCTATCCAGTCATTGATCCATTCCATGTGGTCGTTAGGAAACACATTGAGACTTATCACACACAGATATAAGAGGAGCGTTCACACGGGTTCCGCGGATCTTTACCTGTATCTCGATCTTCCGTTGCAACTCCTATTTAACTTACTAATCTACTTAACTACAGTACTTAGTGTGTTCTGCTACGTCACGCATTGTCGCGAAGAGCTCTGAGAATGGTTCAAACAAGAAGGCTACGTCACAAAAAAAGCACTAGAGTAATTTTCTAGCTGTCAGGAGAGACGAATTAACGGAGATCTAAATTGCCTGATGACAGAAAAAATGAGAAATTAACTCAAATATACCTAGTGTCTCGGAGAGAAAGGGAAGATAAGAATACGTTGAGCGATCAATGGCGAGGCGTGAATGATCAATCATCGATATTTCCCCGTTTGAAGCTATGGTATAGAATCGATTATTCAGGTGCTCGTTACAGACACCCTGATTATCGATCTTTTTCCATACGGCTAATGACAGATCAGTCGATATATCGCAAAGCACGCCACGCCACTGTGAGCGATGACGCCTGAAATTAATTTATGTGATGCACCGACGGTCAAACTACAAAAACGCAGATGTTAGTTGCGGTATTTCAAAATTTGCGTTCTTTCTTCGGTAGTTCTAGGCGCAGAGATACAACTATTCGTACACGATGGATGTCCGTGTTGCATCTGCAAAATTGAAGGCGCGATGGCGCCAGGCGTGAACTCGCAATGCTCATCGTTCTATGCTGCCTGTGAGGTGTCGCTCAGATTCGAGAGAAAAATTTAAAAAAACTAACTGCTGCGGGTAGATTTTTACATTCGTAGTCTTTACATAAATTTTACTCAATTTTTAACTCGTCACTCAATTTGAGATTAAGCTTTAAGTTTCAAACTTGGTGCCTTCTCTCTTGGAAGCTTAAAAATTTACTAAAGCTGTCATCCCCAAAAAATGGACATCTGGACCTTTTCTCGGCTACAGGGTCGGACTAGCTCGCATCGGAGGGCGTAGACCCTTGGCTGGTGAAAAGGGCGTAATGTGATATTTCCTGGTAGGGCATCCCCTACGTGGAGAGGGGCTCAGAAAATTTTGGCAAAACAGCATGAGTTTACGCTATTTTCAGGTTCAAAGTTTATTTATCGTACAGAGTAACAATTGCAAAATTGAACGTATTTAAGTAACCGACAGACTTCTGAAATTAAAGAAAACATACAAAATTGAAGCCACTATACGCATCGAAGCACCATTATTTCCAAAAGAACCGAGCCAAAGCTGCGGTTTACACGAGCTTTAAACGTGGATCTGCAAATCCATCCTTAAAAAAAATCAGACAAGAACCTGAAGATAGAAGAAAGAACGAGTATCAACACAGCTGAAGACAGGAAAGATGTATTCGGGCCTCTTTTTTTAACTTTTCTTCCGCGAATCTGAGCGACACCTCATTGACAGCATATATATAGCAGAGCACTGAGAGCTCACGTTTCGCATCATCGCGCCTTCAATTTTTCGGATGCAGCACTGACGTTCACCAAGTACGAATACTACGAATAGTGTATCTCTGCGCCGTCGTAGACGCGCATCCTTTCCCTCGTTTTATTTCCATATTGTGTTTGTATGTGTCTGTCTTATTCGTAATGGTGCTTCAAGCACTACGTGAGTAACACAGCCGAAGGTAGGAGAGATGTGTTCGGGCCTCTTTTTTAACTTTTATATCGAATCTGAGTGGCACCTCATTGACAGCATATAGCAGAGCATTGAGAGCTCACGCTTCGCATCATCGCGCCTTCAATTTTTCAGACTCAGCACGGACATCCATGAAGTACGAATAGTTGTATCTCTGCGCCATCGTTAACGCTCATTTTCCTCGCTTTATTTCTATAGTTTGTTTGTTTGCGTTTGTCTTATTCGTAATGGTGCTTCAAACTAGTAGAATAGAGCAGATCATTCACGACTCACGCCATCGCGTCTTAAATTTTTCTAATGCCATGTGGACATCCATCTTGCGCGAATAGTTGTATCGCGTTTACACTTCAGATGTCTCTTATTGTTGAATTTCGAGATAAATTAAGGTTAAGTTTGCCCGAGATATGCTACGGTATGTCCAAATCAATAGTCATTTTGAATAGGAAGAAATTTGTTCAAAGGTCTTTTAAGAGGTCTATAAAGGGTGCTCATGTCTAAAAATCTAACCGACCATCGCCTCTAAGGGCGAATACACGTAGCGAATGAAGGAGGTGTACGAGCGCCTGTATGTCGAACTCAAAGGTGGAAATTTCACAGAAATGTGTTTACGCCTCAGAAAGTAGTTCTTGGACCTCTGTTCACCACTACCATGTGTAAAAGTACCTTTCTTTACTCCTAACTCCCTCTTCTTCCGTTCATTCAAGAAATTCTCCACATATTTTCTAGGTCGTAATTTTTTTTCTCCTCTCATTTTGCTATCTGTCAGAGGGGCGCGTTTTCGGCGCGCCAAGGGGGCGTATCTGCCAATGGCAGATTGGCCCTATAGCCAGTCCAAGCCTGCTCGGCTATCTCTTCGTGTTAATGGCTATCTTACGCGCATCTTTATTGCGGAGTGTCAGAATCTCTGCTCCTACTTTATTTTTTGAAGAAAATCAAGCCAACTGTATAAGTTGTTAGTACAAAAAATTCTGCAAGTATAGGTAGGAAAAATCAAGGGTGTTTTCAAGAAATTAGTTTGACAAGTTTTCCAATAGTGTTCCATATCGATGGATATGTAACGAGGAATCAAGTAACCACCATCATTCTGTATTCCGCCTTTGTACTGAACAGCCTCTATTTAGCCCGGTTGATTCAGACATTAATCATAGAGAAAAAAATGAGGTGTTTGCATTTCGGACATCTTGGATTTTTTTGATGACGCTGGTAGATACGTACGATTTTTACCATCGATTTTCTTGAAAATTTTGTAGTTTATGGAAAAAAGTCTTACCACATAAAATGTTTGAAATTATATAATGAGTTGTTGTAAGCAAAAAAATCGGACGTTGTGGTCCATTTTTCATACTACGAATTTCGGATTTTGCTGGAGTACCTGTACCAACCTACGTCATGCGATCACCTCCTTGTTTTTCTCTATGGATATTAATCATTGACCTGAAAAAATGATGCCCACCTTGATGTAATGCATTCTCTATAGTTTCTTCTTCCTCTCTTACCAGACAAAAGCGGGGAGTATGGATTTAAAAATAAAATACCCCCATCGGATGATTTTCATTGTAACAATATTGTGATTTCATTGTCACAAGCTTTGACTGGGAGCTTGTCACAATCACCTGACAATATTGTGGAAATATATTAATGTTCTACCAAAGAGCTTTTGTCATTCAATATTGGGAGAAGGTTGGGAAGAAAAGCTTCATGGTGAAATCTTCGCGGAAGCTTGTGACTCCAACCTTTGGCCAATATTGGATGACAAAAGCTCTTAGGTAGAGCATTAAGATTTTTCCACAATATTGTCTGAAGATTGAGACAAGCTTCTGTTGTAAAGCTTTGTGCCAATGAGATTCCAATATTGCCTCAATGATGTAGGTACTTCAAGTCATTATGGGAGAAATATTTAGGTGAAGCTCAGAACAATATCATAGCAACGCTGAACCCTGGATTCCACACTGGAAAAACAAAAACACATTGGATCTAGAGTCCAGACTCTTAAAAACACCGAGAAGAAAATATACTCTTGATTCAATCAGATTTAGGTTTAAATCAAGAGCCAAGCCTCTTAATTTGAGCGGATTTCCTTTTAATTTAAGCTTAAATCTGATTGAATCAAGAGTCCTTTTTCTTGTCAATGTTTTCAAGAGTCTGGACTCTAGATCCAATGTTTTTTTTTTTTTTTTTTTTTTTTTTTTTTTTTTAACCAGTGCACCTCTGGAATCGAGTGGAATGGACGAAGCGAGTGGAGCACGAAGCCGCGGCCGCCGGGAAGTTTGTGGAAAATCCAAAAATGTTGAAAAAATGTTGTCACCGCGGGAGGAATGGGAGGATTGATGTGGGGAAAGGAGTCACAAATTAAGAGACGTGTCAACAAGACAGGGTGGCAGAGAAATTTAAACGACACCTTACCCCATATATTTCCTCGCCGCTCCGACTCCTCCAAGAAATGGATCACGTGACGCTACTTCGGCTCCATCCATTATGGCTCATGCTCACCCGAACATTGCGCGAGGTGAAAAAATAATATCCTCCCTCAAACTCGTCGCGTCGGAGCAAAACGCCGTATGTATGTTTGTACGCTGTCAACTTTCCCCGGATAAAATAAAAAAATCCTATCAAGTTCCTGTGAGTCCTGTGTAAATCTATGGTGAGCTTGAAAATATAAATATTATTATAATTATATAATAGAGCTCGATCAGTTGATCATCGATTTAATTGGAAGAAATTCACCTATAATGTTGATTGACGGAGGCATGGGAGAATTCCCCACACACATATAAAAAATCACATTGTTACCGCTATACCTACTAGTGCTAATATTACTGATACTACTATTGCTATTTTTTTAGAAGAAAGGTATGCATATTTTTCCTTGAAATGACCAGATATCTTAGATTGACCTGCTGGGAAAATTGTCTGAAAAATTGCGGAGGCAAAATATTCTCAACTTTCCCGGTGAATTCGTATTTTATCCAAGGAAATTTTGTAACGCTGGAAGGTTCATACGATGTTTCTCCTCAGCACGGCAGTATTCGCTTCGAAGCGACCGCATTCCGGGAAACGTCGCGTAAGTGTGTATATTATTATCATTACTCACGTCGATAGATATGGGATGATCCATTGGGAACCAATTTTTATTTCCGTATCCCAAAATGTATCTCCAAGAGTGCGTTTAGCACGGGAACCACACGATTACCGCGTATCTACCGCAAGTTCTAATAAGATCGCACTTACGCGCCGTTTCCCAAAACACAGTCTCCTCGAAGTCTAGCCAAGACATTTCATCAACAGTTGTATTTTTGCTAAATTTCATCTTTTTGTGCTTTATCATCCCCATTAAAATAGATGATTTTATAGATGAGCCAGAAATGGACTGTAATTTGCAATTAGAAACCACTGTTTCTGGCTCATGTATAAAATACCATTTTTGCACATGAAAAGGAATGGCGCATACGCTGTTTCTGAAATGAGCCAGAAATCGTCGTTTCCCGACAGAAAGGACGTGACTTCATCACAAGGCTGAAAAATTCATTCAAACAGCTCGATTCTCCACAACTCTGGTAAAAATTGGCG